TATAAAAAAAAATTAGGTTCGTTGCATAGTACCGTAAACACAATATAAACAAATAAATAATAACAGAGCTCGAATGAACGTATGCGTGATAGCAACATAGCCCTTCAACTGTTGACTATGTTTCAGGGTGGAGTCCGTAATGTATAATAAACCTGAAGTAAAGAAAGCTATACAATATGGATTCCAGTCAACTCCCTACAATCTAGGCCATAACAAACTCGCAACCTAACAAACTCCCCCCCTAATACCTAAATGAATTTCTAATTCTGCTGAACTTGAATTTCAGTGCCATGTGGCAATTGGTGATGGTAAATTAACGTGTTTTCATATTTCTGTCGGTAAATTATACATTAATGAATATATTCCCATGATATAAAAGACTGAATAAATTTATGAAAATTTTGTTATGTTTTTCCGTTTGTTTCATTTATTTATTTATTTGTAGTGGCGTATCTAAGGGGCGCCTTCATTCACCCACTCCCCGCCCACAGTGGTAGTGCAGATTGTGTTACCGATCATTTCCTTATCAGCTCTAAAGTAAGACTGCATCCCAAGAAACTGTACAGTTTGAAGCAACTGTACAGTTTGACAACGACCACTCATCCAGATAAAATGAACATGTTCAACTTACTGCTAGCAGATTCTTTCAGTGGAACAGGCAATTATTCAACTGATACAGAATACTAGACTCATTTAATAGTCAGTCACTCAGAAGCAGCAATAACAGCATTTGGAAACAAAAGAAAAAAATAATTTTGCTTTGCAAAATGCCTGAAAGGCTGTCCAAAGGTTGTAAGATTATGCACCAAGTACGAATATGCCTACTGGAGAAACATTTTGTACCAAATATTCAACAGGCATCTGATATCGGCAAGACTAAGGGCATGCATGACGGCATAAAAAGGACCTTCGGTCCATCAGTAAAGAAAACAGCGCCCCTGAAATCAATCACTGGTGAACTGATTAACAAATAACTAGAGAGATTTGTAGAGCATTACTCTTAGTGCTACTCCAAGGAGAACAAGGTAGATATCACTCTTTACAAAATGATTATTGATTATATATTTAGGTCATATGTCTAAAGTTAAATAAATTAATAAATAAATCAAACATAAAATTTCAGTTACATACTACAATTTTATCATATGCTTTAAAGAAATGTAATTTATCTCTATATTTTTTATGTGTAATGTATTGTATTTTAATGTTTTATGTAAATTTTTGAAATTGCTTTGGGGCCTAATAATCACAAGTTATTGCTTCATTTTAGGTCCCAACTTTAATTTATATTATTGTTATTATGTTGTTTTTTTACTATTTTGTGGAATAAAGAATTGAATTGCATTGATACAGTCCTCTTTCGATGCAATTAAACGGTTACCAGTAACGGACATATAATCCACAATTGAGGAACTATCCCAAGCTATTGAAAATTACCACCAGGAAATGCCCAGGAAAGGACAGCATACTTGCAGTTTTAAAAACTGGAAAGTTATTTAACTCACTCTATAAGCCAGGGGAATTCAGTGTTCATAATGGAGTTCAGCAAGATTGCCTTCTTGCGCCAACCCTCGTTGGCATCTTTTTTTTTTAAACATTTTTAATCAAGCATGCATTTAAATCTTCTACATAGGGAATATACCTTCATTCCAGATCGGATGACAAGTTATTGGATTCAGATTCAGATTCTTTTTTTGACTAATTACTAAACAAGAACAGTCGATATACAATTAATGATAAAATGTGACAACAAGAAGAGGAAACAGCAAAATAAAGTGAACGTTTAGGCTATAAACCCATTTCTTTTCGCAATTTGAAAGCTTGTTTTATGAAGCTAGTTCATCACGGTATCCGTCAGTCAGAGTTGACTATGGTTAATTATGCCTGTTTCATTGCTACCAAGGTAACAACAAATTAAAATTTTTTTCATCGGGTACATTTCTTGCTGTGGCTAAATAGACCTATCCGTGACTTGCATTTTCTACCACATGTGGCACTAGGGTATTCAGGAGCATCTGCTGGTCCATAGTGCACACTCACGTTCTTGCGTTTCGCTCTCTTTTCATTTGCCAATTGGGTTTAATGTTCAACATAATTTTGAAGCCCAGTGTAGACAGCGTTCCTCCAAGCACATCTATTTTCAGCAATCTTTTCCCAACTATATTCAGGGATGTTGACTGCCTTAATAGGCCTATCTCTTTTCAGAAGATCTTTATATCTGTGTTTTGGTCTTCCTCTTTCTCTCTTTCCTTGTGCTAGTTCTCCATATAGTATATCTTTGGGGATTCTATCATTGGGCATTCTTCTCACATGACCAATCCATCGTAATCTCTTTTTCAGCATAGACTGTACAGTTGTGAGGCCTGTTTTTGATAGCACTTCAACTTTGGTAACTTTATTTTCCCAAGTGATGTTTAGGATCCGCCTTAGATTTCTCATGCTTTGCATAAACTGTCCAACTCTCACTACCATAAAGCAAGGTGCTGATGACGCATGAATTATACACTGATATCTTGGTTTTTGTTGAGAGGAGATTGTTTTTCCATACACGGTTGTTCAATCTGGAGAATGTTGTAGCTGATTTTCCAATACGTTGGTTGATTTCTGTATCAATTGAAAGGTTACTTGTTACTGTAGAACCCAAGTATGTAAATTCTTCCACATTCTGTGTAACGAATATGTATCAATTTTGATGGAGGTATTAGGTTGGAGATCTTGATACATTACCTTTCTTTAAACTTATGGTAACAGAAAAATCATTGCAGGCTTCAGAAAAACGATCAACAAGCTTCTGCATGTGTGCCACTGATTGTGCAATAAATGCAGCATCATCTGCAAACAACAGATTTCTAACTGAGACAGCACGTGTTTTGGTCTTGGCTTTCAACCTTGCAAGATTGAACAACATTCCATCACTCATTGAATGCAGGTGGACTCCCTCAGTTGATGATCCAAAGGCATATTTGAGTAGTGCTGCAAAAGAATATACCGAAAAACATAGGTGCAAGGTCATCACCTTGTTTCAATCAACTCTTTACATTAAATCTGTCAGACTTTTCACCATCAATGTGAATGGTTGCCTTCAAGTTATCATGGAAAGATTTGATGATATTAGGAGTTTGGTGGGCACCCAAGCCTTCATAGTAATATCTTGAAAAGACCATCTCTGCTGATCAGATCGAACGCTTTAGTGAGATCTATAAAAGTGATAACAAGAGGCCGATTCTGTTCCCTGCACTTTTCCTGTATTTTCCGTAAGGAGAAGATCATGTCAATTGTGGATCTGTTGGAACGAAATCCACATTGGGACTCGGGATAGATGCTTTCAGCTATAGCTTCAAGGCGAGCTAGAGCAACACGAGCACAGATCTTACCAGCAACGTTGAGGAGAGAGATACTGTGGTAGTTGTTACAATCACCTCTGTCCCCTATGTTCTTATATAGTGTGGCCATAGCTGCATCTCCCCCATGCCTGCGGCACAGCTCCTATTTCCCAGCATTTACAGATGAGACAGTGAAGTTCCTAGATAATTGCATGCTTGCAATATTTAAACAGTTCAGGAGGAAGTCCATCACTTCCTGGTGATTTTCTCGCAGTTAGGCAGTCTATAGCATTGCTGAGTTCATCAATGATTGGCAAGCTATCAAGCTTGGTATTTTTGGTAGTGCGTTTAGTGCAGTGTCACTTCACTTACAAAATTCTCTGTAGAGTATAGTTCAGAGAAGTGCTCGACCCATCTGTCCATTTGCTTGTCTTTTTACACGATACACCTTCAATCTTTTGATTTGACAGCTACTGTCTTTTTCACTGAAGGACCCACTGCCTGTTTGATTCCTATATACATAGCTCTAATATTTCTTGTTGCCGCTGCAAGTTCAACTCTCTCACATAGTTCTGTCCAGTATTCATTTGCACATTTCTTCCCATTTTCTTGGCTATGTTTCTAGCACATCTTAACCTTTGAAGATTTTCCCAGCTGAGATTGTTCTTGTATTCTTTTAGTTTATTTCTTTTTTCTTCTATGTATGGCACCAGAATGTTACTTTTTGCTTCAAACCAATCTTCACTTTTCCGCTTCCGTTTTCCAAAAACATTTAAAGCACTTTCATACAAAAATCCTCCTAAATGTTCCCAGCTATCTTCTACGGCCGGACCAGATATGATTTTGGTCGAAAGCGATTTGGAGACTTCTCTAGTAAATTGTTGAATAGTTATCGTTTCTTTCATTGCTTGAACATTTAGAGCCGGGCTGACTTTACTTTTGAAATGATATTTCTTTATTGGTGATATTCTAATTTTACTGCAAACAATGGAGTGGTCAGTGTTGCAGTCACCACTGTGGTATGTTCGAGTGTTAAGAACAGAAATGATTGTTTTCCTCCTGGTAATGATCAGGTCTTGTTCACGGCAATGTTTTGAACGTGGATACATCCATGACACCTTGTGTTAAGGCTTTGATTTGAAGTTACGGCATGAATAACATCATAGTCAGTAGTAAGTAGTCTGTTGTCTTATGTAGAAAAGGCAAAATTTTGGGTAGATTCCTGTAAATTATGTTAAAACAACTCTAAAAACACTACTAATCACGAAAAAAGTGGGTGCCAGTTTTTTTTTTTTTTAGTCTAGAAGTGCCATTTCCGGCCATCTAGAGGTGCCATAATCATAAATTTTCTTACCTCAGCCAATCATGATGGGGCTAAGGAAATATAGACCCTCCACCTGTGAATGTCCCTCTCCAGGCCCCCTCTATTTCAAATTCCTGGATCCGCCACCGGATCTGGGTGTACCGCAAGACAGATCATTATGAATCACCCTCATCTGTTTATCACTTGCATATTGATATGTGTATTATATGTATACACAATATATATAAAGGGAGATAAATTCATGTACTGTATACACAAATTATATAAAGGATATATAATTGGAGAAAAACTGTCATTTATTACAGTATTGATAACTACCGTACTCAAATGCTCAAAAAACCTAAAAGGCTATAACTTTCAATCCAATTCAGTCAGTTGTACAAATTCGGAAATGTTGCCCCCCCCCCACCCACAAAAGTGAATTATTGCTATGTACCAGCTGACTAAATTTACATTGTATAAATGGAGCAGTTAGCTACATGCGGGAGGTGATAACGCTGTTTCAGTTTCTAAAGGTAAATTGTACATCTACCTGGCATCACTGGAGCATCTTTGTAATTACTTTTTTCCCACCAAATGGAGAGTTTATGGGAAACAGCAGCATCGTTATGTGAATTGCTGTGATAAAACTCAATTGTTCGTTATCATTGGAGATCTACGGAAGCCCGTTAGTGTCAACTGTGAATAAAAATTTCAAATTTCAAACTGATTTGAAATTTGTATTCACTGTTGACACTAACGAGCTTCCGTAGAGATCTTACTTGGCAGCTGATACTCTTAATCTTCAAACCAGGGACCTCCTCTCATTTATGTTGTTTGCTGATTTGCTCTTTACGCTCTCAATTTGGTAGGTATTATGCACCAAGTCTGTTGAGATTATCCCAAGTCTTTTTTCCAGGTTTACAACCTGTTGGTTACTGAAAAGGCAGTCAACAAACTGCTTAATGCACAAAGTTACTGGTAATTGCTTGGACCATCAGTCTACAATCTAAGTTGTTTGGTTCGAGGTGCTGTAACAAAGCTTTTGTAGCATAATGATTAACAGGCCCGTAGCCAGGTTCTTCCAAGGGGTGGGGGAGGGGGTTTCTGGGCGTGAGGTACACGGTCGAAGCCCCGGTGGGGTCGGCGAAACCCCCAAAGCAAGAGGATTTTTGTGCTTTATGGGTCTAAATAATGCTATAAAAGCAGATATGTTTGAAAAGATCTTTGTTTGGGTGGGTCTGCAGTGCATTAGTTGGGTTGGAGGACTTATTTGGGAAATTTGAAGAGGGGGCTCGCCAGAAAAGAGGGGGTTTGCTAGAAAAGGGTGTTCTCCCGAACCATAAACCCCCACCCCTGGATACTGCCTGATTAACTAGAATTATCTGTTTTTTGAAAGATGTAGGTGTAAGATCTAAACTACCATGATTTACTGTTTTTGTTTGCGAGCTTAATTGTATGGACATTTTATCTCAGGTTTTTAGGAACAGTACCAGTGTGTCGAATGCTTTTAACTGGTTTTGTCATCGGCACCTAACAACTCTTAATTCATTTTTCAGAACAAGGTCAACTTTTTTGTGAATTAAAACTGTGACTCCATGGAGCAGTGTATAACATGCACCACAGTACTGCATGCTACAAGCACTACTGGTGATGTTCAGACTGTTGTAGTATGCATCCCATTCAGTCCCTGCTAACCTTAATAGGGTTTACATGAGACGGTGTCTTAATAACCATTGCATTGTGTTGTTAAAGAAGTGTTAGGATATGATCCAGTATGATGGAAAAAATGTCGTAGTATCTAATCTTGAGCAATTGTTAACTGGACGATCAGATCAGATCTGAGAGTTTTTGGTTTGCTGAGGACAAGGTGACATTATGGAAAGTATGTGCAACATCAACTTAGGCAGATATTTTAACATCATTCAGTTAGTGGTTTCTACTACATTGTCCATTACAGATCTCAAGAAGGAAAAGTCTGTCAAGTAATGCAAAATCTTAACAAACACTGCAAACTGGTAGACCTTTTTTCCACTCCGATATACAGTACTCCTAATTTCGGAGTCCTTTAGGATGTCATTTTTACACACCAACCAAACCAAAAGCAGGCCACTACATAGCGCTGCTGCAGCACCTCCAGACTACAAACTGTCTCAGTCAAAGAAGGCTGAGATGGTTTTACTCAGCTATAATCAGTGTTTTGCACCCTGCTGTTAATTTGAACTCTAAATGTCAAATGTCAAAATTTTCAACAAATTATTCAACTGTAGCGGCTTTAAAATATTTTGTATAGCACCGCATCTTCAAGAGCAGGATTTGTGGGTCAAAATGTCAATCTAAGAAACATACATTGGTATCAGCTGCAAAATGCATTTAATTGAACTTATTTTCTAAATTGAACGCAAGGTCTGAGTTTTTTAATTAGAATGCCGTAGCATCAATTTTGTCAGACTGCTAGTGTTTATCTGCAGAGATTTTAAATCTCGTAGAAGTGATTTGAATGAATGGATTTCTGTATCAAAGTTTTCATGGCACCATCCCACAGAAGGAGGATCCAGACTTTTTTAAACGAGGGAGCAACAATTTCAATTTCATATAGGCCTAAATGATTATTATTATTATTATTAATATTATTATTATTATTATTATTATTATTGTTAATAACAATAATAATAATAATAATAATAATAATAATAATAATAATAATAATAATAATAATATACAGATAGGCCTATATGTCTAGTAATGACATGATTGATGTACAGTACTGCTGTTACACTTTTTTTTTGTATGCGATTTTGTATTTCCACTGGACACAAAAAAAAGATGACAGTGGCAAAACAGGGGAACGTTCCCCTCACTAAATCTTCCCCTGTCCAACATTGTTGGAAAACCGAGGAACAAAAAATGTTGTGGCTATGGCAACTAGGTGGCCGGAAATGGCACTCACAGTCTTAGGCCTAAATTTGAATATACCTTTCCTCTTTTATATCTATTTTTTAATTTTGGGGAGGGGGGCCTGGCCCGGGACGGGGTGGTGGGGCAGGGTAACTTAAGGGG